GCAATCAACCAGCTCGAAAGGATCCCAAATTCCCGGCGTCAGCGGGAAGTTTTGGATTCCTTGGTGAAGCTCCCAGCCATCCGGCTCCTTAGCCTTTCAGTTTTTTAGTGTTTAGTGGGGGGGTTCCATTTAACCCACTAAAAGTCAAACTTTTAGCGGGGGATCTGAGGACAGCCCGGGTATGTTTTTCCCTGGTTGGTTTTAAAGGGAATCGATTTCACTACTGGATGTTGTTTTTTTTGGTTTATGTCATTTTTTCCAGGGGACTAAGCAAATGGAGGGGAAGTGTTCGATTCTTCGGGTGGATTGTTGGATGTGTTTAATCAAAAGGTCCATGAACATGGGAGGACCAGTACCAGCACCCTCCAAGAAGGCTGGCTTTTCTATGTGTACCTGTGCTTTTGTGTGAGTTTTTGGTATGGTCATTTGGGGGCCAGGAATATTGATCAACCCCCATGTTGTTAAAGAGTGATGGCATGGTGAAAGTTCGGCGCTTTCAGCGGGCTGAAAGCGTGTTGTTTTGGGCGCAGTCTTCTCCAACTTTTGGGCGGAACTAGCGAATCCTCCGGTTCCAGACGGTTTCGAGATGCTTTTAGTGGGTGAAAGGTGGTTGGGTTTCCGAGTTTAACCCACAAGTCAAACTTTTTCCAGGGGATCTGAGCTCAGTTTTACTTGGCAGTTCGCCATACACTTAGAAAGTTTTCGCCGTGCACACATTCCACTCAAACAACAGCTGTTTGCAAGGGATCACTGAACCACTCAGCTTAGGGTAGACAGAGTATGAAGCAGAATCTAAACATGTGAAATATCATCTTTTCAGTGGGAATCCCATGTTCATGGGACCTTTTGATCCACCCCATATCCATTTCAACCCCTGAAATTGTGTGCTTTGGGGGGTAAGGGGTGGGGATTCTTGGCCGCCTCAGGCGGCCATCTCTGCGACAGCCAAATCTGCACGCCTGGTCTTTTCCGCGAGGTGGGGCTTGAAACTTCCCTGACTTCTCCCAAACTGGTGCTTGGTCTGTGTCTCGGCTTGTTGGCTTTTTGTTTCGTGGTCCTTGTATGTTCAAACTGTTGTTCTGCTGTTAGTTAGTGCATTTATGTGCATTTCATTTTTGAGACTGGTTGATTGCTTTTTGGGACTTTGAGTTGTTTGTTTGTCTGTTGGCCTGCCTGCCTGCCTGCCGACCTGTCTGCCTGTCCGTTTGTTTGTCCGTCCGTCTGTCTGTTTGTCTGCCTCTGTCTATTTTGTTTTTTGCCTCTTCTGTCTCTTCTGTCTGTGTCTGTGTCTGTGTCTGTGTCTGTGTCTGTGTCTGTGTCTGTGTCTGTGTCTGTGTCTGTGTCTGTCTCTCTCTCTCTCTCTCTCTCTGTCCTTCCCTGTCTGTTTGCTGTCTGTTTTGTTGGCTGGTTGGTTCGGCTGGGTTGGGTTGGATTGGGTTGGTTGGTTGTTCGTTCTGCTTTGGCACAGTGAAGGTTCAAACTCTTCCACCCTTAGACTCGAATCTGGAGGCTTGTGTGATACATAAATCCCACTCAAACAGATTACCGACAAAACACTTGGCCTCTTCGAGCAAGGCCAATGCCACTCTTGCGGAATTATGTTCGTCCATGATCATCTCCTCTCACTTACAGCAACACGGACCTTTGATCTTGGCCTCTTGTCAAGGGTTTCCAACAGTGCCTCTCCGCAAGGGTGCCATACTGGACCCCAATAGACCACTTATGAGGCACCAGATGCGTTTAAAAGGCCCCGAGTGGGATTGGGTTCTCGGCCGCTTTTTAAACCCTATACAACTGGCTAGATAGCCAAGTTGCTGCTTTCTCAGTCACTGTTGCTGGTTGTTGGGGTAAAGTGGATTAAAAAATGCAGCAACTGGCGATCCAGGTGATATCATGTCCGTCCTCTTCCCAGAAGTTAAACCCCGAGTTCGCGGTTCGTGTCGAACAGCCGCAGGCCCTCGCTGCATCTGTTCGGCCACTGGAGACGTGCGCGCGAAAGTCGCCCGTGGCGTAACCGCTCGCCGGGCGGGCGGCGGTTGCCAGCACGCGAGAAGTTGACTGCAAGAGCTATGGCCCGAGATTGCGAAACAGTTGGATTTCCCTTGGCTCTTGGACCCGAAAAATGAGGGGCCGTTGAGGGGCCTTGAAAATCTCGAAAGGCCTCAAGTGAGGTCTTGGGCCAGGGTTTCAGGTTGCCGGAAGCAAACCTTCTGAGCCGGGAGTTCTTGCTGGCACTGATCCGAGCGAACGAGCGAATGCCGCGCGATTGCGAGATCCGAAGCTATTGGTGACTGAAAGGCGCTGAACAACTTGACATGATGGCAAGATGAGCATGGACGGCGCTGATAGCTACGCAATGCAAGATGGGTGATGACGAAAACTCGAAAGGCTGGTTCTGCAATGCGAACGCCCACCTAGCTGTGCACGATGGAAAAGGTAGAAGCTTCCAAACAGCGCGCGAGTGCCCAAGCGGCACCGTTCCCTTCATTTCTTGGTGAAAAACTTGTTAAACACGCGACGGCCCTTGCTGCGGCAGCGACTTGTGCGGCCCCAGTGCCGGCGACGGGCAACCCCATTGAATGAACGCCTTTGGCGCGGACTGCAGATCCGCAAAATCAAGACGCCTGTCAACCTGAGCAGCATTTCTCGAACCAGCTTGGCCCTTGTTTCTTTGCACGGCACGGATGAGGCTGTGATGGCAAGCGCCCAGCATAGGCGGCTGCAGCTGGCATGACGAGCGAAAGAACTTGCGCATCAGAGTTTTCGCAAGCTGAGATTGTGGAGTGCAGAGATTTGAAGGCTTCGTGCCCCTTGTGCGACTCAAGCAATGCACAAAAGCAAGGTTGCTTCTTGAAACTTGGGCAGCTGTGTTTGCCAGCAGTGCCTCTCACGATATTAATGACTCGAACGACGACTTGCATGGTGGAGTCGGGCCGACTGTCGATGAGGCCTTTTAGTAAGATGGGCAAATCACCGGCGTTGAGAAACGCTCCTGCAAAGAGTTGCCTTGACACGGATGCTGAAGTGACTGAAGCAGTGCACTTGGTCCGCTTCAAGATTAGTCTAATGCACGGCTCCTGCAGTGCAAGCATCCGACTTCAGACAGGTTTGCTTACCCAAGAAGGTGGCAGGCAAGTGCCGACAGCATCTTTCAACAAAGTGACAGCGGCGATGTGGTGGCCAGTGTCATAGGATGCTGTGAGGCCATGCTAATGCAAAGCCGGACGTGTACTTGAATTCCCTGGAGATTCCATGCTGTGCTTGGTCTTATGAGAGCCACCAGTAGCTGCATTGCCTGCAAGATTCTCGATGCAGGTGTGGCACGCGAAAGCATGGAAGCTGTGCTGGGATTAGACACACCCAAATTGAGGCAGGTTGGCTAGTTCCCACCAAAAGCACTGTGTTTTAACTGTAAGGTCTTGCTAGTATTGACAGGCTTGCAGGTCTGTCGGCGGTGTCGGGCAAGCAAGCCGTTGCTGTGCCGAAGCCATTTGCGTATGTTGTGCTTTCTGGAGATAAGAGCTTGGATGCACACGTCAGGAAATACCAGAATGTCTAACATCGGAGTTGGCTTTTCTCCAGCCAGTCGTAGCTCAAGTGGCAGGAAGGCCATGCAACCAAAGCTGGAGCAGAAGATGGCAACAGGTAATTCACTGTTTCCTTAGGAGGAGTGTTGTCGTTGGAACAAGGCTGTTTGACCTGAATGCCAATGCTGCAATATTTGTAGGTGTTACTCCTCCGCCCTGCCTATCTGCTCTTCGCAGATGGCCGTCATCGCTGAAGCACGGAGCTGCTGACAACAGAAAATGCCAATCACCACTTCCTCTTTTGGCCCATGGAACTCTGAACTTCGGCGGCATCGGTGTGACACAACATGCGGCCGCACATGGAGCCGGTGTGTGTAGGGCATGTTTGCTTAAGCATGTTGCAGGAGCTGCCACCGCAGCACACGAGCCCGTTGACTTCGTTGGCTTAATTTGTGTGGATGAGTCCCTCCTTGAGCCGTTGCATAATCAACGCACTGCATTGCAATGCTTCAATGTGAAGCATAGAGGGAGTCTTATGTGCGTGGGGCCAAGTGCACTGTCAAGCTTCAAATCAGTTAAGACAGAGGGCCACAAACTGAGACCGCTCAAGGGCGCTTGCCCTTAGTATGCCGACCCTCGCAATGAACGCGGCAACAACGCATATCAGGGCTGCAAGCGGGGGTCTCCTGGATGTGACCCATGAGGCGGCCTTGATGGAGTGTCGTATTGGCCTGGCTTCTTGAAGCTGGGTCGGTGTCATGTCAAGCATGGCCTTGACCAAGAGAGAAACCCAAGGGATGGCCCACGTTGGCGCAGCAGGGTAGGTGCTCTCAGCATCGCGCTTGCGGCATCCGGCACGGAACGGTTGCTTCGTGCCAGCAGCGGCTTCCTTTGAAAGCCATGAAAAATTCGGGTCCAAGAACACACACCAGCCGGGCGCAAGGCCTGAAGGCCAGCCCTAATGTGACCTGGGGCACTGACTGCTGCCTGTAGGCTCCAGTCGCCTCGTCGCCTCGCCGCCGCGGCTTTCGCCGCCCTTCGCGGCCCTTTGTGCGCGAGTTGGCTCTCGGCTGAGAAAACTGGCTCCCTAGGGCGCAAGCTCCGCTTTGCATCTCTAAATGCCAAAAACGGACGACCCCCTCCCTACAGTCCTTGCGGCCTAGCTGCCTGATGCCTGGGCACAGCCCTCTGCGCGCCGCTCGCTTGGCCGTGAGGCCAAAGTGGCCTCCCTTGGATCGGCGCCGGCCACCCCGCTGGCGTCCAAGTCGGCTCCGATGCAGAGATCCAGCTGAGCCCAGGAAGCGGCCAGTTCACCCGTTCAGTACGCGCCTTTGGCGCGGACTGCAGATCAGAATTGGAAGATGCCTGTCAACCTGAGCAGTTGATTTCTCGAACCAGCTTGGCCCTTGTTTCTTTGCACGGCACGGATGAGGCTGTGATGGCAAGCGCCCAGCATAGGCGGCTGCAGCTGGCATGACGCCCGAAAGGACTTGCGCGTCAGAGTTTGCGCAAGCTGAGATTTTGCAGTGCAGAGATTTGAAGGTTGATCGTTTGACAAGCACTACTTTGTGCCCCTTGTGCGACCCAAGCAATGAACAAAAGCAAGGTTGCTTCTTGAAACTTGGGCAGTTGTGTTTGCCAGCAATGCTTCTCGCAATATTAATGACTCGAACGACGACTTGTGTGGTGGAGTCGGGTCAACTGTCGATGAGGCCTTTGAGAAAGATGTGCAAAGCACCGGCGTTGAGAAACGCTCCTGCAAAGAGTTGCCTCGACACGGATGCTGAAGTGACTGAAGCAGTGCACTTGGTCCGCTTCAAGATTAGTCTAATGCACGGCTCCTGCAGTGCAAGCATCCGACTTCAGACAGGTTTGCTTACCCAAGAAGGTGGCAGGCAAGTGCCGACAGCATCTTTCAACAAAGTGACAGCGGCGATGTGGTGGCCAGTGTCATAGGATGCTGTGATGCCATGCTAATGCAAAGCCGGACATGCATATACTTGAATTCCTTGGAGATTCCACACAGTTTTGCTCTTACGAGAGCCGACAGTACCCGCATGGCCTGCAAGACGCTTGATGCAGTGCAAAAGCGTGGAAGCTGTACCGGGACTAGCCCCACCCGAATGTGACAAGTCTTGCTGGTTTACCCATCGGCGTTGCGTTTTGACTGTAAGCTCTGGCTAGAATCCAAAGCTTCGCAGCTGTGTCGGGCAAGCAAGCCGTTACTGCGCCGCGTCCATTTCCTTAGGTTGTGTTTTCTGGAGATAGGAGCTTGGATGCACAGCTCAGAAAGTACCAGAATGCATAGCATCAGAGCTAGCTTTTCTCCAGCCAATCGCAGCTCAAGTGGCCGGAAGCCCATGCAACCAAAACTGGAGCAGAAGATGGCAACAGGTAGTTCAGCGTTTCCCTCAGAGGTGTTTTGTCGTTGTAAGAAAGCTGCTTGACCTGAACGTCAACGCTGCAATATTGCAATATTTGTAGGTTTTACTCCTCCGCCCTGCCTATCTGCTCTTCGAAGATGGCTGCCACCAAAACACTCAGCTGCTGACAACAGAGAATGCCAGTCACCCATTCACCTTGTGGCCCACAGAACTCTGAACTTCTGCGGCATCGGTGTGAAACATGCGGCCGCACTCGGTGCCGTTGTGTGTGGCTTGTTTGCTTTAAGCAAGAATGTTGCAGGCGCTGCCTCTTCAGCACACGAGCCCGTTGGCTTCGTTGGCTTGATTTGTGTGGATGAGTCCCTCCTTGAGCCGTTGCATAATCAATGCACTGCATTGCAATGCTTCGACGTTAAGCCTCAGATGATTTTGTGCGCGTCAGGCCAATGGCACTCTCAAGCCTCGAATCTGTGAAGACCGCGGGCCGCAAATTGAGACCACGCAAGGGCGCTTGCCCTTAGTATGTCGATCGCAATGAACGCGGCCACCCATATCAAGCTGACCCAGTCGGCTGAAGTGGGTTCTCTTGGATGTGACCTGTGAGGCAGCCTTGATGAGCGTATTGGCTTCTTGAACCTGGCTACCAAGGGATGGCCTACGTTGGCCAGAAGGGAAGTGCGCTTGAATTGGCATGGATTTGCCATAGATTGCCAGCTGAGAGACCTGCTACTTGCTACCAGGTCTCTCGGCCAGGCCGCTTCGGCATCGTCCTCCGGCCAAGAGCGGATGCTTGGTGCAAGCGCCGGCTCCTTTGAAGGCCATCAAGCACACACATCCACGCACACGGCCTTCGCACTGATGTGACCTCGGGCAATGACTGCTGCCTTTAGGCTCCAGTCGCCTCGTCGCCTCGCAGGGGGCGAGGGAAACGGCAGGCGCCCTTTGTGGCCAAGGCGAAGTGCGCAAGTTGGCAAGTTGGCGTTCAGCTTGAAAACCGCTTGGCCGCTGCTTTACTGTACACAAAAATCCCAAAATTGACCACCCCGCTGCGTTTGCAGGGGCGTCAAGATGCGGCGGCTAGCCAGGCACGCACTTTCGGCATTGTGCGGCAGAGAGCGGTTGCTTCGTGCAAGCAACGCACAGTTGAAGGCCATTGTTAACACACCAACCGGGCACAAGGCCTGAAGGCCAGCCCTGATGTGACCTGAGGCAACGACGGCTGCCTGTAGGCTCCAGTCGCCTGGTCGCCTCGCCGCAGCGTCGAGCTTCGCCTGGTGACCTGGCGGAGGCCAAGTGGCGCGAAGGTCTGGGAGCCTCAGCCGTTCCGTTTCAAGGCCGAGGCACGCGAGTTGGGACTTTCTCGCAGGGTGGTTTTTGTTTAACACGCAGGGTGTTTTGGTTTCCCAGAGGCTCCCGATACAGACAGGTGTTGAGACCACCAAACACCTCCGGGGTGTCTAATGGAGGGGTCGGGTCTTCCATTGAAAAGCCCAGGAGCCTCTGGGTTGACACAGTCAAACACCACCAGCCCCCCCTGGTGAGAAACCCACCAAGTGCCACATGAAGATTTCATCAAAACCGTGAAGGCCCTGACCAGAAATCGGATCTTGAGATGACGGCTTCCTGACGAGCCTTTTTCTCGAAGGCACGTGCCCCTCGCGCCCGCCTTTGACACCGCGGAGCGAGCCGAGCCTTTGGGCGGCTTGCGTCATGAACTAAGTCTGGCCAAGCGGCTGTCTGACCCTAGCACCAAAGTTCGCCCTGTGCACTGTTCTTTGCAAAGGAAGTCATAGCCTGGTATGCGGACAATGCCATCCCACGATCCTGACATGTTGGCTTCCCTGATGAGCAGTATGCGTTGCAAGTTGGGCTGCGAGCTATGCTGCAAGGATGGTGTCAGGCACAGCCAGTGCCGTAGCGCAAGAGGGTGTAGCAAAGTGATGACCCTGACGCAGTCCTGCTGCATGCCCTGGCTGCAGCCAGACAACGCGCGAGTGGCGCTACATGGTTTGGGTAGACCAGATGTTGGGCGCCACAGTATGGGAACTGCATGCCACCTGACAGACAAGGCCAAAGTTGTTGTTGGTGGGATTGACGTTCACAATCATGCTGTTGAGATAAGCTTGTCCGATTCTGCCCTGCTTGACTGTGAATGGGCACCGTGACAGCTTTGACTCACCGGCACAGAACTGCCAGTTTGAACCTTGTTGCTTCACACTCAACTTTAAGCGCGCAAATGGCGAAGAGCAGCAGTGAACACATGTCAGCTTTGCGCGCCAGCCCGGTCAGATCAGCACCCACGCATGCATGTCATGTGCTGCAGACTGCACATTGTAGTGCCGAGTGGTGCCCATTCAGCGGGTTCGCAGACGGCAACTTTGGCACGGGCTGCGCACGCTTTAGGTGGCCTTTGCTCCGTACGCCCTTCTGGCGCAGGCGACCTGAGCTTCCCACCACCTGCGCTGCAGAGAAATCATTGATTAGCCGCGCTGCCTGCCCAGACAAAAGACTGTCAAGAATGCAGCATATCAATGTCAGTGCCCCAAGCCCCTTTGCCGGGCTCTTGTGAACACTTGAAAGGTCCCTGTCTTGTTGTGCATGCTGATAGGATCAAATCTGAAGGCAAGTGTACCTCTTTTCCGGCGCAGTCCGAACGTTGCACACGAGTCACTGGGCGCCAGATGCCTTGAGAAAGCTGCCAGACTTCTTAGCTCTGATGTTGCGCCACGCTGTCTCGAATTTACCCAGTGCAGCATGTGCAGTTGCTCGAATGTCCTTCTGCCTCCATTTGAAGCCCTACATGCAAGAAGAAGCCTTTGGCCAGATTGCAGGTATCACATGCCAGGAGAACGACATAGCCGAAATGTGGGAGTGCGCAGCAGCAAGCTCAAGCCCAGCACATGACGTGGCCGTTGTGGCTTTGTACGGCGTGTGCGTCTGAATTGGTGGCTCCCTCTTTTTTCCTGCCAGCCGGAAACACGGATTGCCCATGTCTATGCGAGCATGTGTGAACAGTGGAGGACCCCCCAAATGGTGAGTTTCCCCATGCTTTCCCCATACACCTGCCTGACAAATCGTAGCTCCAAAAGCACGCGCATATCTTGCAGCCCTCACGAAATTAAGCTCGAACTGCTCAAAGCAGTTGCCCGGTGCTTGAGATAGAGCCGTCAAAGGCAAGGATCAAAGTGGCACGGACTCCACAGACCCTCCCGGAGATTTGCAACCTGCAGACATGAGTCCTTGATGTTGGAAGATCTTGCCTTAAGCCGCTCGCCTGCATTTCAAGCTGTTACTCAAGCCGTGGCGCCAGTTTTCACGAAGGCTTCACCAGAACCGCGCCGATCGCTGCCGCCGGTGCAGTGATCCCGCTTCGAATGGGCCTGCAGCAGCTCAGCGCAACCTTTGCAACGAGAGGGCATGCAACCAGCCAGGCGGTTTTGTAGGTATGTAATGAAGGCATGTAACGAGGGAGTGTGTAACGAGCCAGCGGGTCTTGCTACATGGGGTATGCAGCGGGGTACGTCACGACGCTCGCGCGAGGGTTTGTTGCAAACCCCGCAAAACGCATCGCTGCCACATCATTAATTTATAGCTATGTTGGTAGAACCGAGCCCTCAAAAGTCATCACTTCGGTACAAACCTCAACCTCTTGGCACCAAAAGTCAATCGACCGCGGTGTCCTTTCACCATGGCGCGGGGACATTGGCGACTTTCGTGGGTTCCTAAAAGAAGATCCGTAGGATTCGTAGACTCGGTGCTGATTGCATATCTTTGCGCACGCAGCGACTGAATTCCATACGCCATGTGCCAGAGCGGTGTCAAGATATAGCTGGTGGGGTTCCTTTGAAGGGCTGACTGGTCTTGTTGCTTGAGAAAAAAAAGGGCCCCTGAAGCCTTGAGATTGTCCTAGGCGATCCAAAGTCGGGCATCAACTCAAGCAACATGCTCATGCGTTCGTGGCTTCCACACAAGGACTCGTTTTGGTGAAAGGCCCTCGGGGCCTTTGGGTGTTGCTCTGCAGCGTGGTATCGTAGCGGAGGCGCTGAATGAACTGCCCCGAAGACGGCCGGACGGCCACGCAAGGCCCGAGCTGGTGCTGGTGCTTGGTTTGGCGCACGTGGGGCTGTTCGCTTGAGGGATCCCAGCGAGGGCGGAGAAAAGCGCGTCTCCACTCTAGGGAAGCCGAAGGACGGCGCGATTTCTTTATGCAACTCCCGATGTTTGGTGCGTGAGAGGAACTCAATCTAGTAGAAATCGTTAAACAAGAGCCCATTTGTTGAAGTCATTGAGCCGGTGAGCAGCATCTCCCTATTTCAGCCTGCCCAAATCCTGCGCGGTGTTCAGTTTGCATGCTGAAATCAGCGCTTACAGGTGGACAGCGGTGCCATCCGATGCGCCTGACATGTTGGCTTCCCCTGATGTGCAGTCTGCATTCCAAGTTGGGCTGCCAGCTATGCTACAAGGATGGTCTCAGGCACAGCCAGTGTGGTAGGGCAAGAGGGTGTAGCAAAGTGATGACCCTGACGCAGTCCTGCTGCATGCCCTGGCTGCAGCCAGACAACGCGCGAGTGG